TTAGCTATATACATCACAAAGCCACACCCATGGCTAGGTCTGTATCTGTATAGATAGTCTTGAGAATCATTCAATTTTGTCACCAAGTAATCTCATGATAAACAATGAACATGAAATTGAATTTAATTTGCAGAACCAAAATTTCAGGTTAGTGAGAAAATTATAACTATATATTAAAGTGATTTTTAACTGATTTTTTTTTTCAATGATTGCCAAGTAGCTTCATAACAGAACCTGAAACTGATCCTAATTTGATGCAAAAACTAAGTTTCCGAAGGTTAGTATCTAGTTTATTAAATATTAGTGCTTTTAATATTAGTTACAAGAAAGCAATAATTTGATGTTTTATTTGCAATTATCAAATTGTAGTTCAGAAAATAAAATGTATGATTTGCCATTAGAGGTCCACAAGCATCAAGCAATTATCAGTTTGACAAACGATAAGTCGCAAGAAGATGTTGATAACCAGACTTTTAGTTTGGATAATGAAATGAAGTAGGTAATTTACTTATTTAGTGTTTTATTTACATGTGATACATCATTAACTTTTTTTAGTAGTTCACAAAATATCTCAGATAATGAAGAATCATATAAAAATCCCTTATGATTATACTGTGGCCTTAAATTTGATACGTGGGATGAAGTAGAAAAATTTGTTGAATCGTATACAAGGTTTAAAAGATTTTCTTTTTGACAAAGTAGGAATGACCTTCATTCAGACAATTTAAGCGTTCATTGTTGTACTTTTAAATGTTCTCAATCACATGCACATAAAGCCAAAAAAGTAATTGACGTTACCAAGCAGCATGAATGTAATTAAGCAGCAATTAATTGTGAGTAGCACGTAAATTTTAATAGTCATAGGGGTGCTACTGAAATAATTTGTACCTCTTTTTTTGATGAACACAAACATGAAATGAATCCTGTGATTGTTCAAATGGTACCACGTTTCTGTAAATCGTGAAGGAAATGTTAGAGGATATAGAGTTTTACAAACATTCTACAGAAGGTTTAGGAGCAAAAATGCAATATAATCTTTTAAGTGCTAAGTACCCAAATAAGTATATAGACAAGAAAGACTTGTATAATGCTATTCAATAGTTTAGAATCCCTTTATGTGATAAATTAAAAACTGATACTGCAGAAGCCTTGCAACAATTAATAGTTTTAAAGGCTAAAGATCCTGAATTTGTAGTTATGCTCAATATTGAAGGTAATATAAATAGATTGATGGTGCTTTTTGGATGTCCTCTCTACAAGTTTCACTGTAGACACAATTCTATGACATTGTAACACTTACAAGACCAATCATTATGAAATATTATTATGTCTTTTTTAATCGTAGATAATAATACTTGTTTGCATATCATTGTATAGACATTATTAGAAGATAAAACGCAGGCTTCTTTTGAATGGTTATTATTCATCTTTTTTTCTTCTTTTGAATGGTTATTATTCATTTTTTTTTTGTATTGTTTATTCTTCCTCTCTTTTTAATGTGGCATTCTTTTTTTCTTTATATTTTCATTCTTTTTTGCATTACCATTATTTATTCTTCTTTTATCTAATGGCATTATAATTTTAAGCTTCTAGAGCAGTTGAATATTGTGACAAATTGAATGATTCTCAAGACTATCTATACAGATACAGACCTAGCCATGGGTGTGGCTTTGTGATGTATATAGCTAA